AATAGAGATGATTACTGCCGAGCGTGGTTAGCCTTGCCTCATTTAGCACGAGATGGCATTTCGGAGCGAGCAATAGCCGATAATGGTTGAACTCCGGCTGAGATTAATTTTACTCCCTCCCCCATTAAAGTTTATGCTAATTTTAGGATTGTTAATTGTCATACTGGAGAATTAGATGATATTAAAGTTTATGAACTCCACCAAGTCAAGAAAGCAACCTTGAATTTGGTAAAAGAATTATTGAATGATATTAACAGCAAAACCGAATCTAGTCAACTCTTCCCTTATGCTCGGGAGGGTGATATTAATAATTTACCGGCTGAAACTGACTCAAACAAAACAGATTTACCGGAGGGTTGGCGAAGGGATGAGGTCAAAAATTTCTTGGAAAATAAATTAAAAAAATTAGACCGAGCAGAGTTTATTACCAAATTTAAAGAGTTATATTTTGCTGCTTCTTCTTTTTCTGATGACCAAATTTATAATCACTTTCGCACTGGTTTAATAAATCCGACTACCGGCGAAAAGGTTAGACAAGGTGCTATTTCAGATGCGACATGAATAGCTAATTCGCTACAAAAAGGATGGACTGACTTCACAGAATTTTTTGCTCGGGAAGTAGTGGGAGAGGCTAACAAGTTTGTTTATTATGCTGAAATTGAGGGACAAGAATTTAACCCTAACGTCATATTTCGAAATGAGGCAATTAAAGAGGTTTGGATTAAAAAATTTCGAAATAGTGCTACTTCTTCTGAAAGACGGACTCTGCCCAACGACGAAGGGATATGAAAATACAAAAAAGGAGATATTTCCGCCGACCAAGCTCGGCAAGTTTATGAAAACTATTGAGATGAAAATGAATTTAAGTGAGAAAATCATCAAGCCACTATCAGCATATTTTCTCACACTGGTTTCCAAGATGAAAATTTAAATGCTCTGGAAATCAATAAATCTTGTTTACAAAAGGTCTATTTATTGTTAAAAGATATTAGTAGGGCAAGTTTGGAAGATATTCCATCACTGAGGGAGGAAATTAATAATAATTATTCTTTGCATATTAATGAAAGCAAAATACCATTCTCACGGAATAAGGTAAATACTTTACGAATATTAAATGCCAAACAAACCCAATTAGAAGCCGAGCAAGAAAATAATTTGGCTATCGGACGAGTAAAAGATTACTGAAACTCATTGAACTTGACTGGAACCATAGAAACCGCCTTAGGTAGTAATTGAGAAAAAGGACTCCAAAATAAAAACCAGAGCCGGCATTATATTGCTGATGAGGAAACTCGGCTCAAAAACTTAATTAGAGGAGTTAAAATTAAACCGGATATTGCCGAAATTGAAG